CCCTCCATCTGAGTAGGTCGGTCAGAGGCTGCATGAGCTGCGCGCAGCGCAGAATGAAGCGTCGATGGTCGTTGACCCAACCGCAAACTCGACTGAGATGCTTGAACGTTGCCGAAGCTGGGAAGACCTTGATTGCCTGGATCTTATCAGGAAGGACTTGGATACCAGACAATGCAGCGAGGTGGCCTAGGAGGTTTATCCTTGATTTGCCGAGTTCGCACTTAGTCGGGTTAACTGCGACACCGTGTTGGGTCAAGCGCTGGAAGAGAGTTCGAAGATGCTCGAGGTGCTCTTGTTCCGATGAACTGGCGATTAAAATATCATCGAGGTTGGAATAAGCGACCTTTAGGCCACGGGTGACCCCGTGGATGAAGCGTTGGAAGGTTTATGCAGCACTGCGCAGTCCAAATGAATTTATACGGGTCAAGAAGCGTTGCTTTACAAGTTGCTTTACAAATGGCATTCTTAAAAATCCAACCAAGCCGAAAGGAGTGATGACGGTTGTTTTGGGAATGTCATTGTCTTCCACAAGTATCTGGTGATAAGCATGAACCAGATCGACCTTGCTGAAGCTAGTCTTACCTGTGAGGCATGCACTGAGGTCCTGCAAGTGTAGGATTGGATACCTATCTGGAACGGTTAACTGATTGAGTGCACGGTAATCACCACAAGGGCGCCAGTCACCAGATTTCTTGGGATAATCTGCAGGGGCGAGGACCAAGGGCTGTCGTGGAGGCGGATTATTCCAAGTTTAAGCATGCGCTCAAACTCCGCCCTAGTTACCTTTAGTTTCTCTAGAGATAGTCGGCGTGGACGGCATGACAAGGGGGCCATTCGTCCGTATGTGGCGCGTGAGTCTAGCTGCCACGGGCAAAGCTGCATTCATTAGCTGAACGAGCTTGGAATACTGAGAAAAGACGTTAGCGTAGTCGGGCGAGGTCTGGGGAAATACTTAGACAGAGGATATAGAGGTGACATCGGCAGTGATGCCACGTAGGCTGAATTTTGTTGCAGTGTCGACTGTCGTCTGGCGCTTCGCATCGACCAAGAGGTCGAAATGCCTGAGAAAGTCAACGCTGTTGATGGCAAAGGGGACTGCGGCGACGGTGAATACCCATCGGAACGTGCACCCAAGACCTAGGTCCAGGGTAAGCTACCGATGACCGTAGGTGGTTATTAGCGTGCTATTGGCGGTACTGAGCCTTGTCGACGAAATAGCAAGAGGCTCACCTGGCATAGGAGGAATGACGCTGACTTCTGCCCCGGGATCAACTAAGAAGTGGGTATCGGAGCCATAATCCCTAAGGTAGATGAGACGACCTTTAGCTTTGCCGACGTTCGGGGCCATTACAGCCCGGCGTGGCGGATCATCTATAGCGGAGTAGCTACACGGCTGTACGCACTTACGGGCTTTAGTACCGAAACGCGAGTGGTAAAAGCGGTAACCTGTGGCATCAGGTTTCGTGCGACGGCGCGATGATCTGGAGCGGTTGCGGTGCTTACGTTTTAAAGTGAGTTCCTCGATCTGGCGCCAAGCGACGCTACCTGCAATGATAATGCGTCTATTGCCGACGGCGGGTTAGTCGCGCCTGTCGTGGTTGCGTCAGCGCAAAGCTGCTTAGGTGCTTTGGTTACAGTCTCTGGCTGGTGCCGTTTGATGACGCGGTCTGCTAGGTCTGCAATTGCTGTGATGAGCAAGTCACTTGCTACTGCAAGGATAGCATGAGTGCTTGCAAGAAGGCGTTGCATCCGCAGCTCGCGGAGAATCCCTACGTCCATGTTGGACGTGCCGATGAGCTGTTGCATTTCGATAAACCTGGCCGAGGGCATCCTATCTCCTAGTTGCAGATCACCAAATATTTGTCGCAGACGGACCTTGTCAAAAGGCGTGATGCGCTGAATAATAGCCTGTCGAAGAGTCTCGTATTTCATTACTAGAAGGGGGCAAAGTATTATGTCTCTCACCTGCGAGGATACACCCTTCGTAAGGCATGATATTAGCTGATTATACATAGCGAAATCAGAAGAAATCCTACGAATATAAAATAAGGCTTCTGGGTGCAAAGAGCAAAACGAAGGATCATCCTCCCAAAAAGGGGTGGAGCTAAGGCAACAGATTTGTCCATGACAGGCTTAACGGCGTTAACCGCGCATGGCGAGGGTTTAACTTGTAGCTGATCCATTGCAAAAAAACAGAGAAAAAGTGGTAGGTGAGAAAACAATATGATCACAAGTAATGAATCACAAGTAATGAATCACAAAAACACTAGAAAGAGCTTACCAAGATGAATGCAAAATGGCGGGTGGCAGGGGGCCACCAAAAGTTGGGCGGAGCCTCGGATACTACCCGGTAAGCAATGACACGTAAGTAGCGTCAAACAGGAGATAGTAAAGAAGTCGGAGTCGACTGAACCCAAAGTATATTGTGCAGGCTACAAAATAGGAAGCGAATCAGCCAGAGCGAGAAACGTGCGGCAAGGTACTCACCAAAGCGCTCTGTGTCAACTGATGTGCGGTCAAAAAAACAAATGGACGTTTTGAAGGTAAAAACGGTCGTAAAATCCAATGTTGCAAAATAATGAAAGTGTGTGTTTTCCGGTACACTACACGCTCTAAGCGAGAACCCTGTTTACCGACTAATTTGACTATAATAATCCCACGATCATCCCGGTAAAACAAACCACAAACGTACTAAGATGCCCACAATACATGGTTTTGGCACTTGTATGCCATTATTAGTTCCTGTGAATATCAGCATTTTGGGGTGAAGGGCATCTATCCCCACTAAAGCTGGCAAGATAGACGCCCCTCAGCCCAAACTTTGGTACGAGCTGGCTGGACCGCATGTAAACCGATTAAATGTATCTTTGAGAAGTCTATTCTTAGCTGTTCCCTAACTGCTGACTAGAAAGTTGCTACCGTGTACCCTATTTTCAGGACGGGTGATAAGCCCTTACCTGAAAATTATAGACCAGTTAGCCTAACAAGTGTAGTAGTGAAAGTATTAGAGAAGCTGGTAAGAGATGCTCTGGAGAAACACTTAGCTAAGTTCATTTTGCTCAACCCGTCTCGACCTGGATTCCGCAGAGGCCACTCCTGTTTGTCTAACTTGTTGGTAGCTCGAGAGTGCTGGGCTGAGGCTGTGGATCAAGGCCAGGTGGTGGATGTTTTGCTCATGGACTTTTCTAAAGCCTTTGACACCGTACCGCATGTCGTCTTTTGTTAAATCTAGAATCCTACGGCGTCTCAGGCTTAGTATTGAAGTGGATTTCGGCTTTCCTAGAGGGAAGGCAGATGAGCGTTCGAGTGGGTTCCGGGCTGTTTATCAGACAAGCCGTCCTGAGTAGTGTTCCTCAGGGATCGGTTCTCGGACCACTACTGTCTGCATTGTATGTCAATGACCCCCCTGATATGCTTAAGGTACCATCCCTTATGTTTGCGGATGGCTTAAAAATTTGGAATACAGTGAGCCCTTCTGTTGGACCCACGGCTTTGCAGCCAGCTCACGACAAGTATTGGGAATGGTCAGAATTGTGGCAACTGTCAGTCAATCTTGCAACGTGTTCGGTCCTGTGCATAGGAGCAAGCACTTCCACATGCCCTTACGTAGTTGGCAGAAATGTAGTGCGTCAAATGACTGAACAAACCGACTTGGGTATCGCGCTTTCCTCTGAATTTAAAGCAAGCGAGAACTGGACAAATGTTACCCGCAAGGGCTTCCGAATTTTGTGGATGATCCGCAGGTCGTTCGGCATTATAACAAATGAAATGTTTGTTACATCGTTCTCAGCCTTTGTCAGGGCATAGTTGGAGTACTGCGTGCAGGCCTGTCATCTAGGCTTAGTACGCGACAAGATGACACTTGAACGAGTTCTAAGGGTAGGTACAAAAAGGGCATAAGGATTAAGGCATCTGTCGTACCCTGATAGACTGCTCAGGTTGCAGATGTTTTCGCTGCAATATAGGAGCCTTCGGGGAGGCTGATGCTCACGTACCCTATATTGACCACCAAGATTCGGCCTGATCTAACTGGAGTGTTCTATCCGGCTCAGATACCATCTCGTCTTGGTCAACCTCTGAAGCTGCATAAGCACAGATCTGACCACGTTAGAGCTGACTTTCGTTTAGCAAGCCGAGTCATCGACTCATGGCACGCGCTACCCAGCAAAGTAGCATTAGCACCAACGGTGAAGGAGTTTGTACGTCGATTAGACCATTTTGGGTTACCGTTTCATACATTTCCGCTTGTTTCCTAACTTTACATCCATTTCCTTAGCTTCGCACATCTTTAGTCCTGCTAGATTATCTGGTCTTCGCGGGCATTGTATGAAGCTGGACAAACCGCGGTCCGATCGAGTTAGAGCGAAGACACGCTTGTCGCGTCGAGTCATCGAGCGCTGGAACCTGCTTCCAGAAAATGTTGTCAAAGAAGCTACGGTTAAGAGGTTTGAGCGACAACTAGATGCTCTTGGGTGGCAACAAGAAACATTTCCGTTTTCCTGACAGGTTCCCATCTTCATACTTTGATTCTATTTTTTTACTTTTCCTCGCCATTGGTATTATTCTCTTCTCTTAACTGATTTCCCCTACACTCTTACCTTCGATTCTTCTTCCTCTCTTACTTACTTCATGTAACTGACATAGCTGTGACAGCTAATGTAAGGAACGTGGGCATTAAATTGGTGGACCAGGGTGTTTTTCGGGTGTTTTCGTTTTAGACCCATCAAGAAGTCGGAGCACCCCTATCAACTCCTGGATCGACGACCCGCTCAAGAAAGAACACTTACGGGATTCATCCTATTGTTCCAGTACCACTTGAACTTGAACTTGAACTATTACTATTATTGTCTTATCCACACATTCTGTTCTGTACTACAATTACAATTATTTGTTTTTGTTGATTCCCTTCTCTTCGCCTTTATTCTATTCACGTGGCCGGTACAGCGAGGGCTGCCAGTGCAGAACGCGTGGGCATTGATTGGTTGGCCGTTATGTGATTCGTGTGTATTGATTTGGCTCTTCTCGGTTTAAAATCGCTCCCGCGAACCCCATCCTGGTTCAAGAATGCAATGAAGAACGAACACACATGGAAATTTCCCTACCGCTCCTGCCCAAATTAAAATTTAAAAAATTGAAGTAAACTCTTAATCGCAGTCCAAGGTCACCGATAAGTCATTCTGTTTTCTACCTTAGGTTTCCTACTTTTTCCGCATACCCTGATAGAGTATGATCCGTAGCTCTGCCCGACATTTTAGTTCTCTCATCCGATGCGTAAGTCATGAGAGCTATTTGTCATATCGCTATGCAGATTCACAGTGGCAACATCGGCTCCGCAACAAAATATGCAACAAAGTATGACTCCAGCCACATGCCGGATACTAAAGTTACAACTCTAAAAAGAAACGGCTTCCGCGTTGCCTCGGAAAACTGGAACACCCCGACTTGCACAGTAAGTAAAGCTGCACTGTGATTTAATCTACCAGGTTGGCGTATGGGTGGATGTTGGTAGCCGGTTTGAATCCGAGTCCAACAACGGTGTTGCTCATTTTTTGGAGCATATGGCCTTCAAGGGTACCGGCAAACGGACTCAACACTCATTAGAATTGGAGGTGGAGAATAAAGGAGCCCATTTAAACGCGTACACATCCCGTGAGATGACTGTTTACTACGCAAAGTGCTTCACTGAAGACATACCGTGGGGTTTGGATTTATCTTCTTCTGACTCTTTTTAGCGGTGGAATTACTTTCGGATATCCTCAAAAATAGTAAGTTTGAGGCTAGTCAAATCGAGAGAGAACGTGGGGTTATTTGTCGAGAGATGGAGGTCTGTTTCACTACTTATACGTGTAACTTCTCTAGGAGATAGAAAGTAACTACCAGGAAGTCATTTTCGACTACCTCCATGCTACCGCTTATCAAGGAACTCCTCTTGGAAGAACAATCTTAGGCCCGGTTGAAAACGTAAAAAGATTACAAGCCGCTGATTTGAAAAATTTCATAAAATGCAATTACAAGGCTCCTCGCATGGTCCTCTGTGCTGCTGGAGGTTAGTTCTCTGTAATACTAGTTTCCTGCAGGCATCGATCATTCTCAGCTTGTGGATTTAGCCGAAGAAAATTTCGGTGATTTTCCTGCCTCTTACGGTGAAGGTGAAGGTACGCCAAATCTCGAACCATGCCGTTTTACTGGATCGGAAATCCGTGACCGGGACGACGCCATTCCCTTGGCCCACGCCGCTATTGCGTTTGAGGGCCCAGGATGGACGAGCCCGGACACTCTGGCCTTAATGGTGGCCAGCAGCGTTCATGGTGCTTGGGACAGAAGTTATGGAGGTGGGGCAAACGTTGCCAGCAAACTGGCGGCGAAATTTTTCAGCGAGGACACCGTTCACAGTTTCCAACACTTTTTCACTTGCTATCACGACACTTCTCTATGGTAAGAATTTTCTGTTGCTCTGCATTAACTCACTCTATCTGGTTTTTGTTTTCTGGTCTGTACGTTCTGTGACCTGACGTGTTTAGGATTGCCGCTTGGTAGGTATTGTAGCTGATTCCTTGTACCATGCCATTTAATTCATCCTAGCAGAGCAATACACGGTCGGGACTCTGGAAAATGATTATGCTGCTTTCCGTGTGAGCTTGCTGTTGTTCAGCGTATGTCGTTTCCTTGATTCAATTCTCGTTCTGTGGCCGCCTTAGTTGAAAGTCTACAATCTTGCTCGTTTCCGGTGGTAACCGATGTATCCTTGTTAATTTTGTTGGGCTTTATGCGGACTCACTTTCTCTGTCGTAACCCTGAAAGCACGAGTGTCCGCCGAGTAACCTATTTCAGTTCTCAAAAGCTACGGACAGATCTCAGAGCGAAATCGGACACAAAAATCCTAATAGCACTTTCCCGTGCTGTTTTTCTTCAATTCTCAATCCTCATTTCTATTGAACACTACCTCTTAACTATTGTTGAGGCAACATTTCACATTGACGGAACGTAGGAAACTTTTGTGTAATTCCTAAAAACACCAATTCTTGAGGTAGGAAACATTGCAAAGCAGATACTCGCACGGGATATTGATGAAGCAATGTGATAAACAGTGCTAGGTCTTATTTTTGCACTTCTGCTACCCTTTTTATGTGACTTTAAAGCCGTTTTTCACACCTGTTTCACTCCGTTATCGGACGAAAATCCGACACTCAGGAAAACTCGCAGAACTAACCCATAACAACTAATAATGTCCACTATACGCCGTAACGGCGCTTCATTGCCGCGCGACCACCACCAGTCGCGTGCGGGCTGAGTATACCGCGAGGACACCCGCCCCTACACGGATTCGAATCAGTTACCTTAGGGTTGCAAACCGTACTCATGACTATATATTCGCAAGCATAATTCTGATCGTTCAGGCAGCATTCTGTATAACTTTAAGCAGCATCAAATGTATTTTTCCACACAGCGATTTCAGTTCACCATCCTGTAGCCTTAAGGATCATAAGCCTTTCTTGGCGCGGGTTCGAGCCTACGTAGGGGACCGGGCAACCCTCGCAGTATCCTTAGCCCACCTGCTACTGGCGGTGGTTGCGCGGCATCGAAGCGTAGGCAGTGGCTCTCGGCCTACTACTTATACCTTTTTTCGGTCTGCTCCCGACTGAGACCGAACAGTTGACCGTCTGATGATGTTACCATAGGATCCAGCAGGACTCAAAAAGCGATTCCACCTCTGTGCATATCTTGTGCTCGTCTTTTTTTTACTTAATAATTATTTGAATGTTCAGGGTGAGTGGAACGAATCCCATACGCATACCTCTGTCACTACGAGACTGGACCTTTAGATAGTGGGACAACTTGTGTTCCTCTTCTACACGAGCTAAAATGTGTGGCGTTCTCATGTCCCCTAATAGGCACTCCCACTAAATTGTTCAGTGCTAAGGGTTGGAGAAATTCAGTCTCTTGACTATTCAAGTTAGAAAAAGGATAATGTGTATTTCTGTAAACATCGTTTCATTGTTCTTTCCCTGCTGACTTGAGATTAAGCTACTTAGCCGGTCGATCACCGAAAGGATTACGCGCCTGCCTTGTAATCTATGGTTCACCGATTCGAACCCACTTAAGTGCGGGCCACGTCCTGGTATACTTAGTCGACACGCTACCAGTAGTAATCGCGGGGCAACGAAGCGTCAGTACAATGTGCCGGCATTTTGTCACCACCTTTAGCCAGAAGCTCCGGTTGTGCACCCCACTCATTCTCTGACTGTATCCCAGCCTGTGTATAATTATAATCTCAAACTTCGATCACATCTTACATCGGCCTTCACGCAGTTTTAAAGGGTTAACTTAATTGCTGCATACATCAGAACGGATAAACATGTACACGTTGTTGTTTTCCGTCGATTTCTCTTTACCTACGGATCCCCATTACTCACCTTCCTTCTATAGCTTCCGGATTTGACGGCAGCTGCAATCTGACTCGTGCTCTGCCTCCCGAATCTATCTTCCCACATTATTCACAACAGCTCCCTGTCAGCCCATGTTGTCTCGTTTCTTTCGCGGTACTCAGCGTTCCCACTCGGAGACAAATAATCGGACAGTCCACGCATACCGGACGCATTGCGTCTGACTTCTGTTGCGCGTCTAGAACTAGAATCAGTGATCCATACGTGATTGTTGAACTAATTGCATTCGGCCTGTCCCATCGCTATTGGCTGCACTCATCCGGGAACAGTAATGCGGCCGGCATTCGTTACTTAGGGAGCCTTAGACCCTTGTTTGGTAACCGACCAAGGGAAAGTCATATGAGAACTCAGTCACCGGCTCCCAATGGGCATGATTCCCTGAATTCTCCCTGCTGCCTTGCAGGTGGGCTATTTAGCCAAATGCTCGGAGTAGGGTCTCCTAAGCCAACTCCCTGCTTCAGCTTGAGCAACCGGGTAGTATAACACTCCCTGACAAAACCGTCGACTGTTCTACACTGTGCTTATATGCTACTGTTTCTGCTTATATCCACGTGACGTCATCACGCTCCGATTGTTTGTTTGTTAACAATCCTTGTTATCCGTCACCCGACTTTTGTGTTCGTGCATTTGTCTGCGATTTCGGTTGCGCCGCGGTGCATCGTGTCAAATGCATTGTTGAAGTCTATAAACAGCGAGTACAATGTTGGTCTTGCTCTCTCTATTTCTCCTGCAACTGAATTGTCGCGAACACCATATCTATAGTGCTGCGGCCCGAACGGAATCCGCGTTTCTCCTCCGCCACCTGCATTTCAACGACCTGTGTGACGAGGCGGTTGAGCATAATTCAGGCGGTCACTTTACTCACACCACTCAGCAAGCTGATGCCACGATAATTCGTGCAACATCGCTTATTCCCCCTGCTTTTGCACAGTAGTAGCAAAAAGACACCCTTCCACTCGGCCGACACTTCCGCTTTAATCCACACGAGTTACACCAAGTGGTGCAGCGCATTTATCGACGCAGACCCGCCACGTTTCAACACTTCAGGCGGGATCCCATCAGAGCCGGCACATTTGCCATTTCGCAGCTGAGCAAGTGCTCTCTGCGTCTCAAGCACTGTGGGTGTGTCGGCAAGGCACCTCGTCCTCTCTTTCTGTTGCAGCCCGTGCAACATAGACCAGTCAACCTTTAAATGTTAATTCAAGAGACAAAGTGCCTTCGCCAGGTCTGTTATGGTCCCCAAGGTTGCTCTGCTTGGCTGATAAGATGACGGCCTTCAGGTACCAGTTTATTATCCAGAGAAAGCAGGGCGTTTACACGGCGCATGCTAACGGTACTTACTTGGTGCGGACACTTGGTCTTCGCCGTCGATCCTTCTCCACCACAGAGCCAGTTGTTTCAAATGGACGATACGATCTATGAAGTATGTTTACGTGGAACCCATTTTGTGCGAAAATGCACGAAAACGTCTTTGTATCGCTACAAAACTCTGTAAAAAAAACACTGCAACTCATTTTTTGTTCAACACTCAATCTTCTCTTGAAAATGGTGTTTGGCACCAAGAAAATACTCCATACTAACTCATCGTACCATATACTGGGAGTGGCGATGATGAATTAGTTGGATTATACTGGATTTTCCCTAAACCAAAGTATACGAATACGAGTTCTCCACATTCGACCAGCACAAGAGTGGGCGACCCGAGATCGCAGTGCAATAGACGCAGTGGAACGCGCGCGCTATGAGATCGATATTGCCCCACTCAGCGAGCCAAGGCTCGTTGACCAAGCATGAGGCTGGTGTTGATTACACGTCCTACCGGGTGGGGAACGCCACTTCGGCACCATGTGAACATAGGGTCGACTTTGTACTATCCGACCGTCTAAATGGCCAGTTAACTGCAGAGCCGACTGGCATCAGCCCGCGCTTGATGACACTTCGACTGCGACTTGGAAAAGGTAAGTTTGCAACTTATTAGCATGTATCGTCCCACCATGTATTATCATGATGACAAAGTTCATTTTTACACTCAGTTGTCCTACGCAATACTATCTATGTCAAGGACCTTCAGCGAGCGCTTAGGGCATGATACTACAGTGTGGAAAGACGTATGGTATTGGCTAAGCAGATGGGAACGGTGGCCGGCTGCTCTCACTATGTGTCACTCATAGCTTGATAATCACGAACACTCGGAGTGATAGAGTTACTTAAACGCACTCTGCTCGACTATGCCATCACACGCCAGCGTGACACGTCGTCAGCAGTACACCGGTACGCAGTACCGAAGGTTTGCTGCCACGAAACCACCACCATTATTGACGAAGTCATGGAATCTGCATTCACTGAATACGACTTAGATTGTGTGAAGTATATACAGTATCAAATCTTAAACTAGTGGTCACAGCCACCTGGTAGGATCTACTTTAAAAGAGGCTGAGGGAACAGTTATAGTCGTTTCGATCACATATTGCTTAAAGGGATTGAGGATTGCCATAGCCAACTCCACTTGCCATCAGGGGATAACTTGCCGATGGCGTTTACCCGATTTCGCGAGTCGTGGTAAAGAGACATCCGAATGTAAACAGGTTGGCCATCAATGCACCAAGCGAAACCACATCACTAAAAGCTTCAAGCGGCGTGATTTCGTCCTTGATTACCGCTCATTGTGGTGTACTTGCATGGACTCTTATCATCTTGGTACGCGGTCAGTGTCCCATCAGTTTTGCCGTGAGGCGCAACAAACGGTATCCTCGGTTGGCTACTAAGAAGTTATACCAGCTGTCGGTCAGGCAAACTTACCGGAATGCTTTCCGTATCGAACTTTCATCCCTTTACTCTAAGGATACCGAGCTACCCAGTGCCACTTCCTGGACGACATCTTGGAGAGTGCTCTAGGGAACTGCGAATCCAGCGCTGTCGAGCCGGTTCTTGTGGACCAGTGCAGGCGCCTTCGCATTAATTTCCGGCCTTTCGTAGGCCTTCCAAAGCGTA